TAGGTTGGCAGGAGCTGAAACTAGAGACGGGAGCTCACTCCGTCATGCGGCACCCGGATCTCGAACTGCTGAACTACTGACCTTCCACAGTCTGCAGTTCAGCGTCTTAACCACTTGAGCCACCGCAGCTCCATCAAGGCTGTAGCCGAACTCAATAGAGAACCCTGTGTTGAGGCTGTTCCCGATCCTGCCCAGGATGTGCCCAGTGCCCAGGCCCTGCAACTGCCTTCTCCATCGGCATTGCAAACAGGCAGGAGTCACCAGCAAAAAGGGGAGAGTTGGGATGACAGAGCCACAGGAGCCAGATGGGATGCTTCTTCTCTAAGCATATGCAGCATATGCAGCCTTGTCCAGGGGAAATTTCTTAGGCAGCCTTTGGCTTGCGCTCACCACTCTGTTCAGCCTGCTGTTTTCATAACTGGAGATTAACAAAGTCATTTCTGAAATGGGGCTGCAACCCCTTCAGGGTTACAAGAATTTGGCAGCCAATCTTCCTTTCCCTTGTTAGTTTATGGGAATCTTATTCTAATTACGTGTGTTTATACTTATTTAAACAAGCTCTTCTAATAATTGCCCAAAAGGTAGTGTGAAAAAAGAATCCTGCACCCTCACCCACACCAACCCATTAACATTTCCTCTCCCACAAAGCACCAAGGGGAGGTCATTCAGTTTGGTGTAGTGGTTTGGAGCACAGACTCTAATCGGGGAGAACCGGGTTTGACTCCCCACTCCTCCACATGGAGCTGCTGGTGTGACCTTGGGTCAGTCACAAGTTTTTTCAGAGCAGTTCTTGAAAAAGCTCTCTCAACCCCATCTACCTCACAGGGTGTCTGTTGTGAGGAGGGGAAGGGAAAGGAGATCGTAAGCCACTCTGAGACTCCTTCAGGTAGTGAAGGGCAGGGTATAAATCCAATCTCCGCCTCCTATTCCTCTTCCTCCTCCTCTTCTTCTTCCAGCTATCACACATTTATACACAACACCCCCAAATTTCTACTCTGGCAGATTAATGGGAACAGTTACAGTTCCAAGGCTCAGCTCTCTCCTAGGCCAGGCACATAAACCCCAGAGCTTCCTTGGCCATTACAGGACTGTAAACCCTCTACTCTATCCCAGACACTGATTAACACTTCCTATTAAATGTTGCTAACCATTCAGCGTTTCTAGAGGGCTTTAAGATGTTTGGCCAAGTGCAAATGTCCCTGAAGGTGCAGAAATCTCTAAATCCTACGCATCCATCTACTGAGACCCATCTTGCTTAGTGGCTAGAGAATGGATTCTGAGGCTTAAGTTCCACCCACCTGCTTTTTTCAAGACCTCCCTTTCTTGTCACCTCTGTCTTGTCACTCATATTTTACATAAAAGCAGAGAGGCACAGTCTGAGCTCTCCTCTGTTCTCCTCAGCATGGACAGGAGGACTCTCTTCCTTTTCCTCTCTAACAATATTTTGTTGAAGCTGGGCTCTCCTACGTCTCCTGTCCTGCCTCTGAAGTTAACCTACCCTGCCACCAGACTAGAGAGCCTCTTCGAGAGACACCCCTTGGCCGAGAACAACAGGACTTTGGTCTCCACAACTTGCTCGTCCGTCTGAGACACTGCCGGCTGGCTGTCTTGCCGTCGGTGCTGAGGGAGGCCTGGTCATTTTGCAGCACTTTGAGCCCTACTTGAACGGCTTCCGCCGTTCAAGTAGGGCTCAAAGTGCTGCAAAATGACCAGGCCTCCCTCAGCACCAACAGGAGGGCAGCAAGACAGCCGGCAGTGTCTCAGACGGACGAGCAACTTGTGGAGAGAAAAGTCCTGTTGTTCTCGGTGGGATCAAAGGTTAGCCGTCAGTACACCAGCCACGGAGCCTGTTCTACTTAATGGCGCCCAGGTTGATGTATTAACTCCAAATGCTTGGCATAGCCTCTCACTCACTAGCGGCTGGCCCTCTGGCTTTCCTAGCCGTTGGAGCAAGAACGCTTGAGCTTCCTCCTCCTCCTGCTGCCCTGGAGTAGCTCAGCCTGCAAAACGTTAATACAATCCGGAACCTTTCCAGTCCTGGGAAACCCAATGCCACATTGTAGAAAACAGAACACAGAGGGCCCAGAAAAGAATCTCGGCAGCTTACAACAGCGTTTCAAGACCCCTGGCTGGGTTCAATCATTTCAGATCTACTCGCTCCGGATTCAGGCTTGCTCACAGCACTGGGGGGCCCTGGTACGGGGTTGCCATCTCTGGCTTGGGAAATCCCTGCAGAATTAGGGGCAGAACCTGGGGAGAGCAGAGTCTGGGGAGGGGAAGGACTTCAGTGGGTTAGAATGCCATAAAAGCCCCCCCCCCCAAAGCAACCGTTTCCTCCAGAGGAACCGATCTCTGTCTCCTGGAGATCAGGGGTGATTCTGGGAGGTCTCCAGGCCTTACCAGGAGGTTGGCAACCCTACCCTGGTACAATGTCACACTCTAGCCAAGTCAGGAGTCCACAGAACCCTGGAAGCCCCCCTACATGCCCTTTAAGGAAAGAACACAGCTTACTCATTGGGGTGCATAGTATTGCTCAGACTGCTGCCCCAAATGCCCCCAAGTGGCCTTAACCAACTAAGGACAGCTCTTTTCTTCCCCAGGAAGACACTGAGCAAATCCAGGCTGCTCTCACCGTCTTCCTGCATTCCATGCTGTGGAACACAGGCACTGATTCTGGGGGTGACATGAGTTCTTGCAATGGCCTGCAACATTTGCCTGTATTATGCCCATGGGAGGTTAGACAGAAAATTTCAGTGCTGCTGTGTTGGCAAAGTTTGCAAGATCCCAATTTATTGTTGCAGGTGGCAAGAAACTCACCAGATTCCACCACGCATTGCTCACTTGTTTTCAAGCCAATCTTTTAAGCTTTAAGGGTTAGAAATTAGCCTTTTAAAAATAGTGGTCGACAGAGGTCATTTCGGGGGGGATCGCAGTTCTCCCGGGTGAGGTGCGGGGGGAGCTCCGCCCCCTGCTTCCGGCAGCCCCGCTTCCAGCCCTCATTCAGCCAGGAGGAGGCAGGAGAAGAGGGAGGGTAAGTTGCTTCCTCCCCGCCTCTCCCCACCCCTGCCTGCCTGGGGCCAGGGAGGGCCTTGGCGGGGCTTCCTCGCACTCCCGCCGGCCTTGCAGGTCCACCGCCGGGCCCCTGATGTAAGGGGGCGTGGCATATGCTAATGAGTTATGCTAATGAGTTCCCCTAGCTCTTTTTCTACAAAACGACCCCTGGTGGTCGATATTCTGAACTAGGTACTGAACATGATTTTGCCAAGATTGAATTCTGCATTGTCTCAGTATGCAGAAATGCAAGAAATATAGAGTCTTAAGAACAGGCCCCTATGCCCTTAAAATCCCTATGAATGAAACAGTTTTTAATCCACTTTGATATGTGCTATAGAATTATTTAGAACTATAATCTCGCTTCTATGCAGTGACATAAATGTAGGCATGAAACCAGGATTCATCTCCAAGACTGTTGATTTGCACACCTAGAAGAGAGGGGAGGTAAACTAATCTGTTGGTCCCGACAAAAAAATATATTCTGAACTGCTTTTTCTTCATTTAGCTGAGTTTGCATGAGCAGAAGTCTGCCAAGCCAGTTGCATGCTGAATGCCATTCTTGTGCCCACCTGCACCACAGATGACTGCTACTCTGATGAGTGCCTGACTGCAGGAAAAAAAGCTACCATGAGGTCAGCCTATGCAAGGAGGCACTTGGCTCTGAATCAGAGCATTGGACATCCTCGGCCACCAGAAGGGTTCATAAACTGACATACTTAATCAGAACACTGGGACTCCACCAAGGCCAGTTTGGTCTATTCTGACTAGCAGCAGCTCTCCAGGGTCTTAGGTAGGGGCCCTTCATATTACCTACAGCCTTTTCTTTTTAACCGGAGATGGAACCAGGGACCTTCTGCATGCCAAGCAGATGCTCTACCACTGAGCCACAGCCCTACCACTTTGCTCTGGCAACAGCTCTCCCAAGGTTTTAGGCCTGTCCCAGCTCCTTTAACTGACAATCCTTATACTTGGAGATGCTGGGAATGGAACCTGGGACCTTCTCCACTGATTAGTAGCACTGCTCACACTAGGCACAATTCCTTCTAAAGATGGTACAGTCTGGCCCGCAACTGTTGGGAGCATGTCTACTGGATGGAGTGGAGGGCAGGTGGTATATTCTGAACCTACTGTAAAGGTAAAAGGTAAAGGTTTCCCTTGCTCGAAAGCCAGTTGAATTCGACTCTAGGGTTGCGGTGCTCATCTCCGTTTCAAAGCCGAAGAGCCAGCGCTGTCCGAAGACGTTTCCGTGGTCATGTGGCCGGCATGACTAAACGCCAAGACACACGGAACGCTGTTACCTTCCCACCGAAGTGGTCCCTATTTATCTACTTGCAATTTCTTGCTTTCGAACTGCTAGGTTGGCAGGAGCTGGAACTAGAGACGGGAGCTCACTCCGTCATTCGGCACACTCGGGTCTCAAACTGCTGAACTACTGACCTTCCACAGCCTGCAGTTCAGCGTCTTAACCACTTGAGCCACCGCAGCTGTACTTGTGTTTAACCTACTGTACTTGTGGTTAACCCATCTTGTTCACCTGGAAAGGACTGCAGAGTCAACACAGGGATCCAGTATACATAACAAGAAGAATGATGGCAGCACAGGGCATTCCTCATCCCCCAACAAATGTTTTCCCTGCATTTTCTAGGAGACTTTCTTGTGCATCCCCCTAAGTGCTTCTATGCAGATCCCTTTTAGACCAAGTTATGAGATGCACCCTGTATTTTCGTACTGGCTTGCTATTAAGAAGGATGTTTGCCCATTCCTACCATGAGATTTCTCTGGCAGGGAACTGCCAGATCAGCAGCACAATGCAGTTAGCAAACTATAGAAGGGGCAGAAACAAAAGCACCTAGCAGCAACAACCTTCATGTTTGCAGGCTGCCTCTGGAAAGATTCTCTAGGACAGAACACTGCCACATATGTTCTTTCACTTCCAAAAGGCATACCTTGGTTTTCCCCAGCTTCCATAATCTCTGGGCACTGTCATACATCTGCAGGAGGGCTGCACAAGTGGATTTTGCATTGTCTGCATTGCTCATGTTTTTCAACAGCATCTTATACCTGAGAACCAAAATAAAAGCTCTTCACAAGAAACAGGTAAAAGGCAATCCCCTCCGCATCACACGGAAAGCTTCCCTTTCCTAGTGGGATCAGTTCCTGGCAACTGAGGAGGCAACTGGTTGCCCATCCTCTCTTTTCCAACAGTTTGTGACACAAGTCAATTGAAGCATCTGGCACCCAACCACAACAGGGCTCATTTATTCTGATAGTAACCAAATGCCCTGAACATTAAACCTATAAAGTGTAATTTAACCCAAGTCTGGGTTATAGTTTAACAAATAAAACTGATTTTGCTTGGGAGTGTCTATTTATTCTCCCCCCTGCAGCCAGCCATCTCAGATGGTTAAAGGCAGGCAACTGGGGCAATGCAGTGACCAATGATCATTACCTAATTTTAGAGGAAACAGAAACGCCTGGAGGAAGGCAGTGGCCTGCCAAAAGCAGATCTCCTAATTTTCTTGTTCCTGCAAGCAACATGTTCCCATAAGCATACTTTGAATCCCAATAGTCTTTAGGCACCCCACACTCACCCCTCCAAGTCACCAAACACTGAAAACCACTTTAAAACTCCATCTTGGTAGCTAAACCATCACTTTTACCTGCAGAGGAAATCTTGAAAGAGCCGCCGAACAGGAAAGCCAGCTCTCCGAACCTTCACTGTTTCCAGCATGCCTGAGTATTGCAGTTGTTTCAGCACCACATCTGGGCTGAAGAGGTCTGAAGCCTAAGTAGAGGCCAGGAGTGCAGACAAGTCAAGGAGGAGAGACAACCAAGAAGTGATTTGTTTTGCAAAGGGAACGATCAGCATCTCCCATTAACTAGTCTCATAGGCAGATACAGGAGTGGGCAGAAATAGCAGGTAGCCACCTAAACGTGAGAGGGAACTCATGCTTTACAGGACACTTCTTCAAATGTATTAAAAGGAAAGGCATGCAAATGAAGCCCCTTCCTTTAAAGTTAGGTTCTGCTGAGAGACCAAGCAATGGCTCAAGAGGTCAGCACTCCTTGTTCTGTTCCTTGTTGTGCCTGCCCTGCAGGAATTTATTTATTTAATTTTATTTATACCCCGCCCTCCCCGCTCAGGGCGGCTTACAATGTAGGGTGCAATGCAGCACCGTAATTCACAGTATGGCACTCAGTGCAATAAAAACACAGTAAAACATTTAATACAATGGGCAACGCCCAAGGATCCCGCGTGACAAACACCTCTCTCTCTATTGCACCTGCTCTTGGGGCAAAGGGAGGATGATGTGGCCCCCTGATGTACCTTGGCCACTCAGCCTCAGGCAGCGGTGCTGCTGTCCTGGCCCTCATTGATGGTAGTGGTAACGGCGGCGGCTCCTATTCAAAAGCCTGGCGGAAGAGCTCCATCTTGCAGGCCCTGCGGAACTGTATCCAGGCCAGACGCACTGAATGGTCCCATCTGTAAGGCTATTATTCCTGCCTGACACCCACAGCTCACAATCTACATATGCTGCCTTGGCTGCACACTCACTGCACCCAACTTGATCTTCTTGAGAAAAGGGTAGAAAGGTGCCGTGCACCCCTTCCAATCTTCAAAGTGATAGCTTAGCTGCAAAGATCCCAGCGAATCTCCCTCACTCCTCCAACCGAGATCCCCATCACCATTTCTGAGACTCACCTTCTCCAGGTTGGGTTTGATGCAGCGAATGAACAGTGGGTTGCAAGCGCTGAGTGTGGCCATCAAGGAGTGCAAGGAGTCCTAGATTTTAAAAAAAAAAACAGTTGCAGTCAAAGCTCCCTCTAAACTGTGGAGTCTTGTGAGCAAAAATTCTACTTTGTGAGCTACAGGCATTAAAGTTGTGAGCCAGCGATTTGGCTACTGCATAAATTAGTTCGCTCTGGAGCCATCCTTCCTGAGCTAAGACAAAAATGTGTGAGCCGGAAGCTAAAAAACTGTGAGCTAGCTCACCCTAACTCAGCTTAGAGGGAACACTGGTTGCAGTCATTCCCCTGGAGACATGAATCTGTGTTCATACTATCCTCCCTCTCATGTGCACGAAGACAAACCAGCCAGAATTGTCAGAGATATAAATAGAGAGCCACAAATATTTGCTTTCATGCGGCTCTTAAATTTCTTTGAGGTGCACATAGATGTATGCCACTTCAGAAGCACACTTTCTGTATTCTTGTTTGATGAATAACATTCTCTCCAGATTGAACACAGCATGATTTTGTTAGTTTGCAACAGAAGCCAGCAATGATTTGGGCAGAAGACAAGCTTTTTTTTGGGGGGTGGGGGTTGAGAAAAAAGGAGGCAGGTCCTTTTTTAAGGTACATCTGTATGCATCGTAAGTGGGCCTGCTGCTCCTACCCTGAACTGGGAGCTGACGGTCGGCCTGCGCCTCTGAGTTCCCATCTTCAGTGTGTCCTCACCGCTGCACCCTGAGACTCTTTCAAAGAGGTCATAGATGAAGTCCAGTCTATGGAGCAAAGAGGACTGGTAAAGCAGGGAAGACATGGGACAGTGGCTTGCAAACACAGCTATGCTCCGCCTGGTGATTGCTGGCCTACTGACTGCCTAAATTGGATAATGCATTAATTCCTCCATCTGCTGCACTGACAGGTCACATAGATGCCCACATCAAAACTGGAAACGCTGCATTCTACTGGGCCCCAAGGGGGAAAAGCTGAATACTAGAGGCCCAGAAACAGAGAGCTCAAGGACTGCAGCATTCCCATCTTTTAGTCTGCAATTCTGAATACCCACGAAAAAATTTCCCTGGCTTCAAACAGCACAAGCATGTTATGTATATGTTGTTAACCCACCTAGTCTAGCCTATCGGCCTGTCATCCCACAGCTCTGACGCTTCATTCTAAATGGCTCTGGATTACATACCTGCTGTCTTTCAGCAGGTTTAAAATATCATCCCGAAAAGTGTCTCTGTTTTTCTCCAGAAAGCCCCTCACATCATAGAGGACCTGCAAATGCCAAGTTGTAACACAAACACAAAAATGTGTCATAGCATATCACAGAACAGATGTCCTCAATAAGGAGAAAAAAACTCCTTGTATATACACAACAAACCTCCAAAAATTACGATGCATCTTTCCAGCTTCTTATCACTTAAGAAAAAATAAACACAGAAGAGAGAGATACAAAATACATTCTGAACGGCAACAGTGCTAAATCCCAGAGCCGCCCCCGCCTCCCCCTTTGGGACCGAAGTGGGGTTTCATGCAGCTTCTCTCCACCAACAGCAGTCCAGCAGCCAGCTGCTGTCCCAAGTGGCCCGGCCCACCCTCCCGTGAGTCTCTGTTCTGTCTTCAGCATCTTCTAGAAAGACAGAACAAGGGCATAGAGACTCACAACACGAGAACTGAGTTCAGAGCGTACATGTTAAACACGATGCACCAGGAAGAACTTCATTCTGGAGAAGTTCTTCCCCACAGGAACCGTAATGTGAAACGTTGTCCTGATCAAAGCATCTGCTGGAGTTGAACAAGACAACGCTTGACAGGCCTACACCCAAAACTGTAAGTCTGAGATCTGTAAGTTGGTGGGTGCTGCTTCTAAACCCCAGGCCCATTCAAGGCGAATGGCTTCCCACTTCATCCTCCCTGACATGCAGCAGGTGGAGGCCTGGTTGTTCACTGGCTTCTAGGCCTTGGGTGCAGCTAGCTTGCCCCACCAGCTACCTAGCTAATGTGTACCTACCTCTCCAGCATAGTGCTGGATCCCAAACTGGAAATCTGACACTCGGGGCTTCAAGTAGTACTGGTTGTTCTGAAATAAAGTGAGAGAAGGCTGTTTCTAGTACAGTAAACCTGAAGCAACACAATAGGCATCCTATTTTTTTTATCACTGCATTTGAAATTCTTGGTCCTTAATCAGCCAAGCAGTGTGTGGCAGAAGCAAGCTAGGTCCAGACCACGTGCTCCGGTATAAGGGCAAACTGGTATGTCCAAAGTGATCATAACAGTTGCCCCACCAAAGCAGCCAAGCTTGGAATGGACTGGTGGCACCAATGGGAAAGAAACAACCTTGAAGAAGGCCCTGTTGGTACTGAATCTCAAACATCACGATACAGCAGAGCCAATTTTTCCGAAAGATTCTCTTCCTCCAATTTAAGCATTCCAGTTAAGTTGCAAGCCCCTAGAACACCCTGCTTTGTGAATTCCCAGAACAGTTGAAGTGGACATTCTTTACAGAGTACAGCTTGTGTCTGTTAGCTTTTTAGCCATTATTCAGTAAACGGAACAAGGAAGTCTATTCTAGCCTGAATTATTAATCTAATTTTAACTTCCACCCACTGAATCTTAGCAGCTATTCATCTGTAAGAGACTGAGGGTCCTTTGCTTAAGAGAGAACAGCATTATGCAATTCTATTGGACTGGGTTTGAAGAGGACTAGTTTAGCTTCACAGCATAATAATCTTGGTATGAGATGACACTAAAAGAGCCTTCTATGGCTGGAGTAAGGCCTCAGCCAAAGAGATGTGAGAGATAAAGTGTAAATAAGTGGCTTTGTGTGGGGAAACTGCATGCGCCCGTCTTGCTCCCTGTGCAAGCTCCTTAAAAACATCCACACAACTCCAAGCACAGAAGAGGTTTCCTTTATCATACGGCAGAAGCCATGTTGTTCTGAGCTGTGAGGAAACTCAAAATGCTGATATTAGCTTGTAAGAAGGTACCCTCTGTGTGAATGCGGAGGAGGAAACACATGGGACCATGGGACAAGGTAATGTGGGGAATTATTCTACGGATCAGCACAGTTCTTCTTTTCCCTTTTATCTACACATTCATCTTTCTTTCCTCTTGATGTGCTCCTCTTCCTTCCAAAGACCTGGGAACAGAAAGTGCTATAGTAACTACATCTCTGTATAAATCAGGCCATTGTAGTACACGCTGCAGGAACCTCTGGGTTGAAAACAGGCTCTTTGCAGGCCTCTTCTTGAAGAGTATCTGCAGATCATAGCTGGTCCAGAGCTCAGTTGCGAAGCTGCTAGCTGATGCCAGTTGAAGAGCTCGTATCACCGTCTGTCTCTAAGCTGCTGGCTCTATCGACAATCACAAAAGGAGCAAAACCAAGCCATCCTACAGACATATTTTGGGAAACTCCCTTGGTGAACAGGAAAACATGACTTCATGCATTAACCAGAAGAACTCCCTATCACCACCAGTCCTCAGTCTGATGGAAATATGCTCAAGGAGAGACTGAACAGATAGTTTTACAATACCTAGTTTTCAAAAACTGCATTGGTTAAAAGATGCATTCCAGAATCAGGACCCATTCAAAGTCTGTTTTTTTAAAAAGATCTCTAAACGGATTGAGTCAACAACGCCTCTCCTATACTTTAAGGTTATCGGGCAATGCCCTGCTTTGTGTAACGTCACTGCTGGAGATTTGGAAGACGGCAGAGACGTTTCCATTGCAACACTCTACCTTTCAAACCCCTTGCCTATAGAAGCCTGCCTGACCAGTTCAGTCCTGGTTTTCAGGAGGACAGTTTAAATCTTTTTCTTCAGGAATCCAATTGATATTGGCTGTATTTAATTGTGATTCTGCTTCTGCTTTCTGGTGGTTTTATACTGGAAATGTAATATTTTTCTGTTGTTTTTATTCTGCTTTTCAAACTGTGAAACACTTCAAGAATCTCCATGAACCCCGAGGAGGGAAGCTCTTCTTGAGGACCTTTTCAAGAATTAAGGTATAGTGTAATTTCTATATTAACCTATTCACTTATAATCTATACATACAAACTAGATGTATGATGAACAGATACTTAGTTGATAAATCCAATAATAAGCAGAGAGAAAAATTTAAGAAACGGATTAATTTCAATATTCTACTTTAAGTTTAATGCTCTAAATTAGTTTAGTATTAGAAGGTAAACTATGGGAGGGGGAAAACCTCAAGAAGAAGGCAGATAGAGTAATAATCTATCCAAGCCCATAATAAAATAAAAATTAATGTTTAGAGGTCTGTTATTCACCAAACAATGGGTTTGGATTGCTTGTAATAACCACAAGTAAAAATGTTGATGTAATGATTTCCTTTCAATTTATGAAACTTGTAAATGTTCATTGTGTTTGAAAAATAATAAAAAATAAAAAGTGAAAAAACAAAAACAACAATGTGAACAATGCAGCACACAATTTTTAGAGATATCTAAATCAATGTGTGCTGTTGTTGTTAGCTACTCAGTCATATTCAACTCTTGTCAATTATCTCCGTGCTTTCCAGTCTTGTACTGTTTCCTTGAGTCATTCCATGCTCAGGCTGGTGTCGACTTTTATGGTGTCTAGGCACCATGTCCTTTGGCAGCCTGGTTTCCTTTTGCCGCTAACCAATCCAAGTATAATTGCTTTTTCTAGTGAGTTCTTCCACATGACGTGGCCGAAATAAGTCAGTCGCAGTGTTGTGATCCTTCCTTCCAAGGACATGTCTGGTTTTATGCACTTCTCCAGCACCACAGCCCAGATGAATCGATTTTCCTCCTGTCCCGCTTCTTCATGGTCCAACTTTTGCAGCCATAGGGGGGACACAATAACACAGACTAATCTGCATTTGGTTGCTAGGCCAATGTCCTTGCTCTTCCATATTCGAATTATGCTCATCATTGCTGTGTGACCCAGCGTGAGTCAACGTTTTATTTCTGGGCTGCATTTGCCATTTTGTTTGATCTGTGATCCCAAGAAAGTGAATTCTTCCACACATTCGATCTCTTCATTGTCTTCTTTGATGTATAATGTGTACAGTGCTACAAATGTACACGTGTGCTTACTTACCCCATGCTGGCTATGGAGCTTTTCCAGAAGGGTGCCATCCGTGCCTTTGGGAAATCTACTTTCTTCATTAACCAGTGCCAGCAAACCAAGTTTCTGCAGCCAAACAAAAGAGGGAGTTGCAATCATAAATAGCAGGGTGAGACGCCAAGCTTATGGCAAAATTAGACGGTTACTTTCTGTAACAATAAAAGATGTTCTAAAAAGGACTACTCCATCTAGACTCATCCTAATCCTCAGAGCAGTTTCAAATATGAGTAATATCAAAATTTGGACATGGGAAGAAAAGCAGAGCCTAGCAGAAGCAGAAGTTGTGCCTAGTTCTAATCTTACATTCACTATATTCAGTTGCATTTGCAGTTTAGCTTAACAATGCCAACCTTCTCATCTTCAATGGGAGAGGGAGGAGCCTTGCGATGAGGGGTAGCTCCACCAGACAGCCAAACTCAGCAAACACTTGAGGTGCCAACATATCAAGGGCACTAGTTTACAGTGTAATCCTAAACAGAGTTACAATGGTCTAAATTAAAAGGTGTAATTCTGACTGGGACGGCACTATACCGGCTGCACTTCTGAAAGTGGAGCAACTCATGAGATAAGTAACATTGCCTGTATTCCTGGGAATCTGATCAACAGCCTCCTGATCTTCTCTGCCAACCGACATTAAAAATGGAATGAAGAAAATTACATCCCTGAGAATGCCTCATCTATAGATGTAAAAGAAAGTCCCCTCACCATAAAATCAACGCCCAGGCCAAACCGCTAGACCTAGAAACACGAAATTAGGGGAAAGCACTCCTACCATGACGTAGATGCTCACTAAGAAGTGATTTTTAGAAATTCGGCCCCTAAGTGGGTCAAAAGGGGTAAAATGTGCTCTCCCCACTGATTCCTATGCGGCTGCCAGGCTGCTGCCTCCTTGCACCCCCCACTCTCTGATTGGTCAGCTGCAGAGCTCAGTGTTCTGATGTAAAAAAACAACAACACAGGAGACTGCAGAGAGCTAATGACAGTTGAGGAAATCAGGAATGGCCAACTGCCTGTGAGGTGAAGCAAAGCTGCTGGCCCAGCCTCCCTGTGGCTTCAAACATGCTCCCCCCTCCTACACCTGACAGGCAGTTGTCTGTCAGGTGCAGCAGCAGATGCAGGGTGCTTAAAGCCACAAGGGAGTTACCGCCCCAGCAGTAATGCCTTAGTGATCCTGCCACCCCCACCTCCACAGTAGCTTCTAATACTCCTCCCCCCTCTCCCTCCTACACTGGACAGTCCACCACATCACCACTCCCTCACACCAACTCCCCCTCACACCTTTCACCTCTTCCTTCCCCCAAGAAAGCTCCTGGCAAACACCGAGCCAGATACACCAACTCTACAAGGAGGAGGCAACTTAGGAATGTGGCAAAGACATTTGTACATAGTACTCCTGCGGAGCACTGAGCTGTGCAGGCCAAGTACCAGCAAGATCACCCTGAGATGCTTAGAACAACACGGTCTCCATATGAGCAAAACAATCCAGGAACACATGTAGAGAGGCCATCACTTTCGTGGAAGGTGGTGGAGTGGACTTAACAGACGACTGCTTCTTAAATGAACAGTTCTATGTGACCTGCTCCAGAGTGAGCGCACCAAGCAGCCTGGTGATCCTAGCACCTGAGGGCAGAACCACCAATGTGGTCTACAGAGTACGTATGTCTCACTTCATTTTTTACACTACAATCTTCTCCATTAGAATTCCTACAACAAATGTCACATTTCAAACGTCACATCATCAGTATTATAACTGGATTTATGGAACTTAAATACCGTAGCGAAGCACAGGTAGCAGGCTAGTCATGTAATATGACATTCTAATGGTGGTCAGACACTACTGAGCTAGATGGATCTATGGTTTGACCTGTTAGATGGCAGCTTGATACATTCATATATGCTCAGCATACAATAAGACTGGATGGCGCAAGTGGGTGGGTGGAGAAATGTTTATTCACTTACAACAATAAAACCCCCCCAAAACCTGGACTGAGGGCTGTACAGCAGCTCTCATCCCCTATCTCCATCCAATCCCAGTTACATTCTTCCTCCTCCTTTCCCCCAGATTCCGATCTCTCTCTTACCATTAATGCCCTACTCCTTGTCTTTCCTCACTCTTGAAGCCCTTTCATTTACCCACAGCAATGGCAGAAGCTCATGTATCTTAAAGCATCCTTTATAACTGGGAATGGGTTTTGCTTTCTAAAGGAAAGGGCACGGAGACTGAAGTACAGACCATAGGAAACATATCATCAGAGAAGAAAAAGAATCTTAACTGCGCATTCCCTGGCTGTTTAGGTCACAGGGCCTACCTTCTCAATGAGATCCAGGCATTCTGCGTTATCCATCCAATCAATGGCTTCCCAGCATATCCCCTCTCTGCCAAAGGAGGGGAAAAACAAGTCAAGCGTTCGTTTGTGGTGAACAGGAGGAAGCAGAAAGGGGCCTGGGGTTCGGGGCTGGCAGTGCCACAGGAGAGGAAGAAGGGGGGCGGGCATCATATTCCCTGTGGGCAAAAGGAAAAGAGCAGCAAGGTGGTGGTGGGGGGAGAACCCTCTGTCTGTGGAGAAATAAAGCAACATCACCTTTCAGCCGCTCTAGCATTTCCATTTGGGATTCAAACAATTAAATCCAAAATAGCTTTGCTTCCAGCAGCTTTTCATCAGAGAGCCACAGATTCTCCTCATTGCTGGGTGTCACCTCCTAAGAGGCCTCTTATACTATTTATTTATTTTATTTATTTATGCTTTCGACTTGTATCCCGCTTGAACCCCGAGGGGTCTCTGAGCTGCTTACACAATTTCATTTATCCCAATCTATGTCCACATCGTCAGGGGTGGGGACTGCCCTACCGGCACCCAATGGTGGGACTCGCTGTTCTTCGGCTTTTTACCTGTTGTATTCAAGCTGCTCCAGGGAGAATATGTGCTTGTTGAAGTACTCCTGGAGCTTCTCGTTCGCATAGTTAATGTTAAACTGCTCAAAGCGATTCACCTAGGAGTGTGAAAAGAGAAACCAATATTAATATCTACTTTGGGAGAAGATCTTTCCCTTCTGAGCCACATAGAAGAAGAAATGCTTGCAGGAAACACAGAAAGGACAACTGTGCATAGTATCGTCTCCTTCCATCTCCCATTGGCCACACCCCCTGATCTAAAATACTCAATCAGAGCACAGGTGAATACAGAACGAGATCACTAGCTTAAGAGACAGAGATGCATCCCCCACTATGTGCCTCTGTGAGGGAATTCAGGCACATCTCCACATGCCAAAGGAGAGAGCTCTACTATACGCCTATATTATTATTATTATTATTATTATTATTATTATTATTATTATTATTATTATTATTATTATGAACTTAAATGCAGTTTCACGAATCATTACTGTAAGACATCAGACATGTCAAAGTACTTGAATTAACCATGACAACATCTTCCTTTCTATTCCCCCCAAACACTCTGGTATCAGTAAATCTTGTTTTCTGCAAGCATTAAAGCAATCTTTCGTTCATGGTGGAATCCCCAACAATTTAATTTCTAACCTGGAAATTCTCAAATCCGAAGATATCCAAGATTCCCACAGACTTAAAGTTCTCCTTCCCTTTTATTTTTGCATTAATTTTGCCAATGATCCACGAGAAACACTGTGAGTAGAGGGCCATGGCAAGTGAGTCTCTGGAGTCAGCAGCCTATCGGAACAAACACGGAGGAAGAGGCTTTATCAGACATGATGGCCACCAGCGATGGGTAGAGATGTTTTGAGTCACCAATAGTCTGAATCACACAGTCAAAAGATAAAGTCTGCCCTTCATCTGCCGTTTGTGAAGCTAGGCCCTAGGCAGCCAAACTTCCCATCACTCTCTGTGTGTGTGGTTGTGGGGGGGTTATGAATAAAATCCTTTTACATCCTTCTTTAGCAGTCTCTCAGGTTTAAAGGACCTCAGTTTCTCAAATGGAAACCACAGAACAGGAGACTGGAGAGCCACAGATCCTCTCCTTTGGTTCAGCAACAACCCCCCCCCCCCATGTCTTTTGGGAAAGCTAAAACTCAAACTACCCGTCTTACATGTGAATTGGCCTCATCATAGTCAGAATTGCCTTGCCTGCCCTTCACTTCACTGGCTGCAGCTTGCAGGGAAATGTTGTGCATGATGATGTCACCTCATGTCTCTTTAATATTTTACCAGGGAGAGAGCGAGAGAGAGAGAGACAGATGAGGAGAAATGGATCAGCAGCTGCTACTGTCAGATCTCCAGTTAAAACACTCTTCACAGCACTTTTGGCAGTGATGCTTTATTAGAAATATGCTTACTTACAGGAACTGATTCTTTGTCAGGACTGAAGAAAGTGTGCAAAATTCAGAGGTTATAGGTAAAACCCAATGCACCCCCACACCCTATGCATACGTCAGCATTCGGCCACTGGCGTTTCTACGACAACCTGACAGATATACGGTGTCTTATCTATTCCAGCCTAGCGAAAGTGTCTCCAAGGCCAAATCCCATGAGAACAGGCCGAGGGGTGCAACTTGAGGAATAATTATGGCTACTACAGACAGGCACTCAATCTACACACACTCCCCTCAGGAATTCCCTCCCCCCAAAGCATGGCAAGGTGAACAGTAAAGTAAAGCAAAGAGAAACGAAACTGAAACCACGCTGCACGTAAAACACAGCTTGGATCTGAGCCAATCACATATAGTGAAGTGCAGACGAGAGGGAAGTGGAATCCAAATGGCCCAACTGCATTGTCAGCCTACAGCCCTACCGCAGCTTCCAAGAACTGGCTCCGGACTCCCCACACCCAGCTCTGGAACCAAAGCAAAGGCAGGGCAGGAGGTGAGGGATGCGCGCCTTCTATAAAGGGCTCCACTCACTGCCCTGTGGTGCCTTCTGTTCAACACAGCAAAAATTCCAAAGCTTGGAATGGTAATGTGTTTCTTATCCAGTGGAAGTTGACTGAGATCTCTGCATCCTCCCGTGCCCAGAACTGCATCTGACAACAGCTGGCTGCCATCTCTGGAAGGATGGGGAAATAGCGTTTGGAAGCAGAATCCCTGACTAGCAGCCATTACAACTATCAGCAACCGCTTGATGTCTTTTGTCAAATTCAGCAATGGAAGAGCTGTGTTTAACACTCATCTCCATACACAGACGCTGCTATCTTGCTATCTTGCATCTTTAGAAACTTAGCTGCTATTTAAACTGAGCAAATGTTAAGCCCTCATTGATGCAGGAATAAGAATGTAAGGTCACACGAGCAGGAAAATCCACAGTGGAAGGGAGGCATTTTAGCGCTGGATCAAAAAGATGCGCGGTAACGCGATCATACGGTTCCCCGAGGTGCCGCGCATACGGTGATAGCCGGCGATCTCATGGCGATGATGAAGCGCATCAAAGGCCAGGAAGAGCCGGCATGGTGCAATCAGACATGCTATGGGACGCATGCGTGTGCTGGATGCGCCGGATTAATTCCGCTTCCGTGATCTGTCGCCCACCTGCGACCTGCGTTTTCCGGTTGCTACTACCCTTTTGCTGATACTTTTAAAATCCACTTCTTTGGGCTGACGGTACGGGTTGGTGACGGGTGTGCTACGCTTCCCAGATGTTGCCGTATGATCGCGCCCGTTTGATGCACCCTCAACTCGTCTGTTTCACGGGGCAAATCCTCCCATGTGACCGGGGCCTCTGTCTAACATTCCATTTCCAACGGAGGCCAACTAGATTTTATTTATATATTTATATTGTACCCATCTTCCAAGGAACCCAGGCTGCCTTTATCTTTACACAACAACCTGTGAGGTAGGTTAGGCTTAGAGAGGGTGATTAGTCCAAGGTGATCCACTGAGTTTCATGCCAGAGTGGGAATATTAACTTGGCTCACCTTGGTCCTAGTCCAGTACTTTAAATACTGCCCCACATTGGCCATTACACTGCACTGCCCACAGGAAGCTATAAACAGTATTCACAAGACTGTACTACAAGTTTCGTCGGAGTCGCAAAATAATTCACTCATGAACAAGCACAATTTCCCCATTTTCCTTGTCCTTCTTCTAGGGATGCAGGGGATTCCATCAATACAAACACCTATCTAAGGGCAAACTGCACTTCCTTGTATACTTGCCAGGACCTGGAACCTCATGAGTACTGGAGCAATCATCTTCTTCTCCGTGTCAAACACTGCCCTGCTGTGCTTTTTCAAGAGGCCCGCTTCAGCTCAGCTGACTGAAAAACATCCATGGAGTCAAGCCTATGCTGTTATTGAGGGGGGCTGTTGAAAAGGAATGCTATACCATGCTGTATTCTTCTGTTGCTCTGGTTTACTGGCTTAACATGCCACATCCCTTGAATGTATTTATTAAGTACATTTATTGACACCTTTCAACCATAACTGGTCACCAAAGCAGCTCACAATGCCATTTAAAAATAACATAGAAGCCCCCTACCCCCTCAGGAACCAGCCTGGAACGCCCTTAGAGAAGGCGTTACCCTCAGCTCCTATGGGATGGCATTCCATGGGTGGGGACAGCTCCAGAAAAAAAGCCTTTCCTTGAGTACCAGGCCACTGGACTTCGGACAAGGCAGGTTTCCCAGAGAAGGTGCTTTTTGCAGATCTCAGATTCCAGGTCAGACGGTACGAGTGGAGATGGTCTCAGAGGCACTGAAGGCCCAAGCCATTTAGGGCAGCACTGGCAGAGCAGAGCTTTCTTCAACTTCACAGCCTGTTACGTCTCATTTTTACATTACAGAACATGACAGATCCATTAACAAGGCTGGTCTACCTACTCTCCCTTCTATGCCAGTGGCCCTTCTTTGCTTCTCGAGATTATGCCAATTCCTGTCCCCCCCACTGTGCACCCCCTGGGAAAGACCTCATGTGGACAGGTGGATTAGTCAGATCAGGGACGTCCCTGGAGTGCAGTTTCTCTTTGACACCCTGTCAGTGCTGCCACCTACAGGCAAACTCTCTTCATAGCTTCAGCGGGTACCCACGTCAGTCTGCAGTGAAACAGATTTGATTCGAGTCCAGCATGCTACCGTAGAGGCCAACACTAGTTTCAGGGTATAAGCTTCCAAGAGTGAAAGCCCCTTTCATCAGACAGAGCTTGGTACTGCCACTAACAGTTCAGAGCAGCTGGCTGCTCACTCACCTGCTCCACAGTGAGGGGAGAGCTGATCTCCTCACCCCGCAGAAACATGGATCTCTGAGTGAGCACCTCAGACAACTGGAAGGCATCCAGGCCAAGCAGCTCGCTGGAGTTATTAAGCACTAAGAAAGAAG